TCTTGATTGAGTCTTTAGATGAGTCATTAACTCCTACTTCATATTGGCAGACATCAGTTTTAAAATAGGTTGCTAGATTAACTTGAAACTTAATGAAAACTTACTGCATTTTCTAGTAAGAAAAGTGTGTGGAAAAGCAACAATGCTCAGGTAAATCCACAAGGGCTTGTTAATACAACGTACTAACAGAATGGAGCTGACCACTATTTGTAAAAGTGTAACAATAATATGTAAAAATTGCCTCCAGAACTTGTTTGATTTTGAGCGATTTTGTAAAATCTCATTGATCCTACTATCGTTTATTTTTTTCTTTCTTAAAAGTGTCCATTAGAAATATTTTGGGCAAAGTTAATTTTTATTACCTAATCTCTCCTTTTTCCCGCGTTGTTTTCTTCAGGAAAATATGCCCAGGTTACCAACAATCCTGAAAACGATGGATGCATAAATGCAGTGTTGCTGGTTTGACAGCACTTTCAGACAAGTAACTCTTGACAATTACTGAAGACTACTCACCAGTTAAGAAGACACCGTTTCTGTGGTGGTTCTCCAAATACTGCCCAACAGCCTTACATATCTGCAGCCTTCAAGAGAACTATTCTATTGTAAGAAACATTAAAATAGGCTTATTTACAAATTGGTCTTTATTTTTTAGTCTGTTGAGCATTTAGGCGTTCATCAATCTGAATAATGTTTTAAAAAGCAATTATAGGGGAGCTGGGTAGCTTACTCAGCACTCTGTGCTGACAGTGCAGAGCCTGCTTGGGATCCTATGTCTTTTCTCTCTCCGCCCCCTCCCTCTCTCTCTCTCTCAAAATAAAGATTTAAAAATACATTTAAAAAAGATTTAAAAAAGCAATTGTAGAAGTATCTTGGTCTGTATCTGCATTAAGAAGTGGATACTCAGCAATGCAGATTTTTTGTTACTGGAAAAATTAGTATAGTTGAAAACACCTTTTATCATAAAGGTTCGTGCACACTTAAAACTAGAGCCTATGCTAGGAAACTGTCATTTCTGAGACCTTACCTGAAGTCTTTTTTCTTCATTAATCCTAAGAAAGGTAGGGTTAACCCCTGGTAACCTTTGTTTATAAGGTATTTAAAGTACAGGAGAGAAGGCACACTACAGTAAATAGAGTTCAGAAAAATCTTTTCACCTCTAGTTTTGTATTTTACACATTTTTTCTTCCTCTCAGTCATGTATACTTCCATCTACTAGGAACTGTATTTTCTACTCAAAATATATGGAAAAAAAATACAATAAAATGTTTATACTTTCATATATTTAACAGGGTTAAAAATGTAAGTAATTCCAGGTAAAAGTTTTAAAAACACTGCACTGATGCTCTTTATGAGCAATTTGTTTGCAGTTAACGTGAATAATATAAAAAAGATCATGTTTCAGGTTTTGTAACTTAGTCAAAGTGCTCTTGTGAATGTTGGTAGCTCTGAGCTTTTAAGGTGTAATATCACATTAATCTATAATCACGTTAATGGTTTTAAATTGTTTATTTTTAAAGTCTGTCTTGAAAGTACAACCAATGTGATTAATTGTGCCTTTAACAAAATTATTTTGTCTAAACAAATTCAATTATCAAAACACAGGCCAGGAAACGATCACAAAACATACTACTATTAAAACTTAAAAAAACAAAACAAAAAAAACTACCAAGAAAACAAACATGAGTACCTCAGTAAGGCTTGCTCTTCTAAATAACGTAACATCTTTTCTAAATACTGTAAACATAGAAGTTTTAGAACACATACACACTTAGGAAAAGAAAGCCTATTTCCTTGGGAATGACTATCCAGTATGATACAATTACTTTAGGATGACAGAAGCTGAACTTTTCTTAACAATTAAGATTTTAACGACTGATTTTTGCCACTAATAGAAATGGGGAATGTGTGAACGACTATGTTTTGGAAGGTGGGGGGAAAAAAAGGTTAAAGGTAATAAGCACAATACTACAGAACTAAGGTCCACTTATCTTTTAGAACCCAAAATAAGCAAATTAACTATCATGTACAAAGAAAGCTTGATATTAAATATACCAACAGAAGCCTAACATTTGTAACTAATAACACTCATGAAAGACTGGCTAACACCCTAACATCAGATTAGCCACTAGTGGACATACAAGGCAGAAATTTCTAAAATGCTATTACACAGATGGGTAATGTTAGTATAAATTCTTTATTTACATTAAGATCTGTATCAGTTTGCTGGTGTGACCAAACCTTAGAAGGTAATCCCTAACGGTAAAGCAGTACTTAATAGCAGGTATTCAGATACTACGTCGAGACTCAGTTTGATGTAATCATAAACCTTCAAGATAATTTTCTGAAGTCACTGAAACACTTTTAGGTAGTGTTCTGGTGGTCAGCTAAAAGCGAACCATTGATCACCAGTAATTGTTACCTTGCCATGTTCATTCTGCAGTGAATGGAAACACCGTGAATATAGACATTTTAAGTAGAAGACTGACATTCTGTCATGCTATTTGATTTTATAAAAAATCATAATAGATCCTCTCACCTTTAAAAGTTGTAGAGGAGCTTTATAATAAATTCTTAAATATATTTCTGTGATGTCTAGCAACTGGAGAATTTAAACTTGAAAGCAGAACTAAAATTTTGCTAATATATATGTTTTATATTACATAAGGAAATATATACGTATTTACACAAACTGAAGTGAAATCTTTTCCAGAAATAAAACTTCTAAACCGAAAAAAGCAGTCCACAAAGGACTATAGAATGTGACTAGACACTCAACAACTAGACTGGCTGGCTGAAATCAGATTTCAGTCCTCTCTAATTCTGAAGTTTTTCCAATGCCTTGGCAAAAACTAGGTATCTGATTCGTTTTATTCAGATTCCTTATTGAGGACAAATTTTGTTATCAATTCTATACTCACTGAGTACAGAACTCATTTACTGGACACGAACATGTTACTAACCATGACAGTAAGGTTTTTCTACGTGACCTCACTTTCTCTACCATCTACAAACCCCAAAATAACATTCTCTGTCAGAGATAATATGTATCAAAAGTTTTCTGGTATGCTAAGCAAAAAGTTCTGCAATTGCTGAAAATGCTCTTACTGTTTAAGAATAAACCAAACAAGTTTAACAAGGTGAGTGTATACTGTTAGTCCCCACTTATACACGAATAACTGATTATTTTGTGAACTCAGCAACTATATATTCACCTATCAAGAGTTGTCAGCTCAAATTTCTTAAACTATACCCGAGAATAATGAATAGTCCAAGTAAAAAAGTAAAATATCTAAGTGTTAGGTTTTTAAATCTATTGTAAGAAATTAAAAATGGAAAGGTTAAGAATTTACTAAATCTTCCTATCTTTATTTCCCTAACTGTGGTAGTAAAGTTTCTCACAAAATCTATAAAACGGCATCAACATGATAGATACACTAGTACTAGTACCAGTCATACTTATTTTTTCGACTAATCAGCATTTGTTCAGAAAACAAATGGCCAAAGTGCTTTAATTTTTCATCTGGAGTAAAGTCATCTGGCTTGCCTCTGACCAGTAACGAAGGAAAATGTAGGGGATACGAGCATTCAAAATTTACTGTCATTTTACCTGCTTAAACATTTAACTCAGCTTATTAGATCTAAAATACCAGTATCTCAAAATAAAATTTAATGACCTCACCTGACCATAGACTAGGATAAAGCATTCAACATCGATCCTTAGCACCTCAGATAACGGCAGAAAGACTTAACGTTTTGTTTTTTTCCATGTAAAGACCAATTCTGTTTTAAAAACAATCTAAATGGTCTCAAAGCATTCTCCACAAGAAGCGCAAATCTGAGCACACCTAATAATGAGAATTTTTTTTTTTAATTTTCCTAGGCAAAAGCCTTTGCTACAGTAACAATGTATATATACAGACTAGCTTGTAACCTGTCAAGAACAAAGTAAGAGTGAGCAAGACCAGAGCAACACCCAAAGCCTCCGATTTGATATAAGCTCTTAACTGTAGCTCCCTAGGCAGATTTATTCTTGTCATCTGGATCGAAGGTGGTGGGGGCATGGTCCAAATCTACCCAGGTGTGGATGCCAAGGATATAAGCTGGCAGACAGGCAGGCAGACCTTTTGGTAGGAATCACTCTCTTGAGTTACGGAAGTGGACAAAAGCTGGGGAGAATATACAACTCTAGAGTAAAGACAGTGGCAGAATCAAGGAGAAGCCTTAGGAAGGGTTCTCACACTTCTGAAGTATACATGTTAATTGGATGAGGACAAAAGTATAGTCCCCAGCTTCAAATGAAACGTATATAATCATGAGTGCCGACATGCCGAAGTTAAGTCCCTAGCAGTATTGTTAGTATAAGATGTTGTAAAGATGGAACTGGAAACAGATTTTGTACCTTTCCTCAGACACAAGTCAAAGGAGGAAACACAGCTACGAATCAGGAGGCCAAAATACCACCTTCATAAACCCTTCACCATAAACTTCTGTATTTGTGCTGTCATTTAGTTGAAGTATATTTTCACGTACTGACATTTTTGTTTTGACCTGCCTACATTTTAAAAAATGATGAGTTTTGATTTTTTAAGATAAAACTTCTGGAACCTTCACCAAGTTTACTATTAAAATCCATAGTATAAAAGATTTCTGTGATCCTTACAAGTAACGGAAAGCCTACTACTTTCAGTTTAATTTATATTTTCTGAAATACTAACGGTCAGGTGTCCCAATTGTTAAAGAAAATATAGTATGATCTGGTTTCCCCAAATCGAAACATGGTTAATAAAAATAAAAAATTGTACTTACACCAAACAGCCTGAAAAATTAAAAAGAATGGTGAATCCTAGGTCCTAACGGGGAGGGAAAACTGGCATCATAAATAAGTTCAAAGTAAAATTTTAGAATTTTTGCCCTGTGCCCCATGCCATTTATTACCATATTTTAAAAACAACAATTATGTTACAAAGAAGAGGGTTCTAGCATCTGCATTTCTTCTTGACTCATGTCAGCTTCGCTTTCTTCTTAGCAGGTCCTTTATGCCCTTTGGCCTTCCTTCTTAAATTCCGCCTGTCGACCACAGGCACCTCCACTTCTATCTCCTCTGAGCTGCTATCCACAGTTTTCTCTGCTGACTGCGTAAACTGATCCAGTTGCTCCGAAGATGCTTCAGACTGTTCCTCTGACTGGTTCTTCTGTCCCGCGTTCTGTGCAAATGGCACATCTTCAAGTTCAACCTCTATCAAAGAACTCTGGGGAAGAGCTGTAGATGTTTCTTGGGGCTCAGGTACCCCCTCCTCACCTTGGTCTTCCAATGAAGAAGTAGTGTTGGGCGATAAATTTTCAGAGATGGACTCCTCAGAAAATTCAGCTATCACAGAGTTTGGAAAACCACTGTCAGATCGTTCTTCATTTGGGACAGTACCAACATTGTCTGAACTCCCAAAATGGGCTTTCTTTCTGGAAACTAGTGGTAGTTTCTCTTCAGTGTGCCCTTTTTCATCAGATGGGCCTTCGTCTAGCAACATTTCTGAGTCAGTTATATGTGAGGTCTAAAAATAAAACACCTGGTGAACAAACCTTTGCAGTACAGTTCTTACATAAATTATTCTCAGACACTAATATTCTGTGACAATGAACTGCATTTTAAAGAATTCAGTACTCAGTCACTTTCATTAATCAGGTGTGCATACTCTGAACACAAGTCAATTTTTTCAAAACTGATGTGATCATTTGACTCCTCCTTTAAAGACATAATAAAAGTACTTTGGTCATTTTAAACTTCCTATGAAGTTTCTTTAAAACCATCAATGAACTAAAACTTCTTGGTGTCTTGCTCTTACTTGAGCCACAAGCAAGAGTCCTCTGGAGTGTGACACTGGGCCATCCCACTAAGTTTGACTATTACTTCACTAGATGAAAGGGAAGGGCAATGGAAATTTTATTCATTTATTTAGTGAAACACTAATAAAATAATGCCATACAGTAGTTGTTTAGCCTTAAAGTGGAATATTCAGAAGTAAAAATGAAACTCCTTTTAAAATATTCCATCAGGTTTTCCCCACTCATCGAATCTCTCTCCCCAGTTAAAACGTGTTAAAATGGTCATAGACCATGTAAGCAACAGGTATTCGAGTATTTGGTAAACTACGTTTTATCCGTTTTTCTAAGCATTTCTCTAAATCTACAAAACAAAACTCATTTCAGGGCACCTGGGTGCCTCAGTTGGTTAAGTGTCCGACTCTTGATTTCGGCTCCGGTCACGATCTCACGGTTCAGTTCCTGAGAATGAGCCCCATGTCGGGATTGCTGTGGCAGCACAGAGCCCGCTTGGGATTCTTTCTCCCTCTCCCTCTGCCCCTACTCTGCTCATTCTCTCTCTCTCTCAAAATAAATACACTTAAAGTAAGTAAAATATAAAATAAAAAAACTCATTTTGTTAACGTAAGTCACATATGTATGAATAAGGTTACAAAGATTAGAATTTATGGAACGTTACAGATTGCATTATTTTAAAATACCTAATGTAGTGTGATAATATACAATTAATTTTCCTGAAGGACTATATATATATTAAGTGGAGGAAAATATATCCACTGCAATGCCCCTTCCACGTCACCAACACTGGAACAGGTGGACTGTAAGAAATTATCTCCCTCTTACCTTATCCTGTGCAACAGTCTCAGGAGGTTTTGAAGATTCTGCCACCACTGGAACAAGAGTTGCAGAGTCTTCACTGGAATTAAAAGACTGCAATTTTGTTTCTTCATCTAAAACTTCACTAGCGGAGTCCTCCTCTTCAGTTGTAAGTGAGGCCTTCAGAGTATCATCCATTATCTCACCATTCAGAGGCTCTAATTCAGATTCCTACATGAATGGGGGGAAAAAGTAAGTCAGGATACAATTTTAAGGTAACTTATTATTTGTCATGCAAGGAGAGTCCGTTCCCAGTCTCCACCTGTCATGCACCAGGACTCAACATAAAGTTTTACCACATTATAGGACATGAGTTAAGGAATTAGTCTGAGGAAAAGACAAACTTCTCAGGCAGGATCGGTAAAAGAAGGCACAAGTAACCCAAACTCCCCCTGTTCTCATGGAGACAGCAGACAGACCAGGATGCTCTGCAGACACAGCACAGGTCTGAGATGCAGTGAAGAAACCCTGTTCCCTTCTTGTTCCTCCTTTTTATAGGGCCAGCCTGAAGGGCACCTTTTCAGTAAAAAGGCACCAGAGACCTGAGTTGATGCCAGCTCTTTACACAACACTTGGTCAGCACTTGACATCTTTGGGGCCTGTGGGAAGTTACGGTTTACCCTACCAAGGGGAGAAAGCACTGCCAGTCTTGGAGGAAGCTCAGTTTGGACACAGCTTCTTGCTGGAAGAAAACAGCCCTCAATCTGAGTTCACTTTCCAGTCAACTTTCCAGTCAACTCTGGCTCACTTTTTGAACAATCCTGCTCCTTACATCACATTAAATACGGAAATATCAGTGAGCTGATGACACAAGCCCTCCATTTATGAAATTCTTCCAATGTTTATCAACACAAAATAGTTCTATGTAATGTTTAGTAGTTCTAATGAATCTTAGTGAGATTCTAATAGAGGGCATTTGATTACCATTTTAAAACTTAGAAAACTGATGCACTCAAGTGTTCAGAAATAGATCTGTCAGAAAACTGATGCACTCAAGTGTTCAGAAATAGATCTGTCTGAATTATGTAGGATCCCTACAATCATAGGGATACTGAAATCAGGACTTAGAAAAATTTATCTGCCCAGACAATATATGGAAAATAGACTGCACACAGAAGGTATTTACAATAAAGTTCATAAAATGATCAACTAAGATAGGAAAAAATGTTGAAAGAAAAAAATGAGAAAAACATAGCAAACGCTTAAAAAACCAGAATGTTGGTAACTAAAAGTGAGAAGCAGCAGAAGAGAGAAATCTGTCCCTCAAGTTTTCGGTTTGGGAACAGAATGGAATATTAAAAAAAAAAAAAAATTACAGGAAAAAAGGCCCAATACAGAAATAATAAGAAAGGATAAAGATTATGTTTAATTTAAGAAGATAAAAGACATCTGTCTACATAAAAATATTCAGGAGACAAGCAATATTGAAGCATTACAGTCTGAATATTCAAAGTCTAGAGTTACTAGTCATCCCCACAGAGATGAGAGTTCAACCACTGGATTGGATGCATTTTCAAAGGAGAGAACATGAACCAAAGAGCAGAAAGTCAACAACTGAATCTTCCAGGATGGCCACAAATAAAGGGGAAAAAAGGAAGCAGAATAGCTAAGTAATAAAGCAAAACAAAACTTCAGAGATAGGAAAAACCTAGAAACCAAAATACAGTAGTGTTATAAGGCCTACATTACACGGGACTAGGGAATATTGAAGAAGTCACAGTAATCGATCTAGGTACGGAAAGTCACTAAGCGTCACTGGTGACCTACAAGACTATGTGCTCAGTGTGTTGCTGGACAAATGAAACTGGTTACATGAAGTACGTACAGTATAATCTTAGGGATATTTTTTTTTTAAGAGAAAGAGAGAACAATCACGAGTGGGGGGAGGGGCAGAGAGCGAGAGAGAGAGAATCCCAAGCAAGCTCCATGCTCAGCACAGAGCCCAACATGGAGCTTGATTCCACCATCCTGGGATTATACGACCTGAGCTGAAATCGAGAGTTGAAAGCTCAACCAAGTGAGCCACCCAGGCGCCCCTAATCGTAAGTTTTTAAAAGAGAACAAGACCAC